GAGGAGAAACAATAATGTACAGTATGTGGAAAATAATGTGTTTTTTTTACTTTAAACCGCATAAACACATTTCATTACACCAAATACACAAAATAATGTTCTTTTTAGCAGCATCATATGACCCCTTTAAATCCTTCTGCAGCTTGTGCATTCTAAATATGCATTTTTGTTGTAGCTGCGCCACCTGGTGTAGGAATGAGAACATGGCGCCCCCATTTTGGTTTATGGTTAAAGACATTGACTGTAAAAGAATAGTTCGCCCAAAAATGAACATTTGCTAAAATGTACTCACCTTCAGTTCATCCAAAATGTAGATGAGTTTGTTTCTTCATGGGAACAGATTTTAAGAAATTCAGCGTCACTTGCTCACCGGTGGATCCTCTGCAGTGAATGGGTGATAAAAGCATCGCAATGATCCAAAAGTAATCCACACAACTCCAGTCCACCAATTAAGATCTTGTGAGGTGGAGAAAGCAATATTATGTATAGACAGAGCGTTGGTTCTCAAACACGTTCATGAAGCCCCCCAACACTGCACATTTTAATGTCACCTTTAGCTGACATACCTATTTCAGGTCTTGGAGTCTCTACTAATGAGCCGATGAGTTTAAGCAGGTTTGTTTGATTAAGGAGACACGCGTCCATTCACTGCATGGATCCATTGGTGAGCAAGTGATCTCATCTACATAATTTCAGCACATTTTCATTTTTGGGTGAAAGATTCCTTTATCTTTTCATTGCACCAAAATAATAAGAATTGTGGTTAGTATAACAATAAATAAAAACATGCTGAGGAGCATAATCAATTATCAAATACTTTTAATTCAGCATTATTTCAATTAAATATTTATGATACACACAAATGTAGCAAACTTGGATTAGCAGGCAGAATTATTGAGAATCATTTGTGACACAGAAATTATGTAAAATAAAATTCACTCTTCAATGTCTTGAATGGTATCATTTCAGTACTCAGCTTTTATATTCTAGCATATTTAAAAAATAAATTGTTAGCTCTGATAAATTAAGAGTATCAATGAGGGACCCAAAGCCCGTTGAAATTAAAGTGGTAATTAATACAAATTATAGATTTACAAATATGCTACAAAATCGCACTTTATGACTCAAAGACATTCCAAAATGTCTTATCACGCAAGATTGTTAAATAAGACAAACAAACAAACCTGTGCTAAAGGCACTTAAAGTAACAAGTTGTACACTCAGAAAATGAGACAAAACACATTTGAATATGTTCTAGTGTTCGTGAGTGTAACAGCTGATGTTTATTTCTCAACTGTAAACGGCGTTAGAACTAGTGTGAGTGCTAAAGCTAAAGGATCTCAATGATCCCTGTTTGGTTTACCAACAATCATAATATAGGCAACCTAAAGAATACAGGAATCTGATCCAGGGCTTTGAAACGATGGCGTAGGAATGTGATCCAAAGAGATTATTTTAAAGTTTAAACAAGGCATGTAATTCTGAGAGACTCTTCAATTATGTTCATTATTCAGAGCAAGACCAGTGTTTAAGATGTTTTAACTCTGCAATGACAAAAATTATGAAATTAGGAGGTTTTTCTGGCATGGAGTATGCATTTTTTGCTAACACATAAGGAGTGTTTCAACAGCATGAGCCGTTCGCCCGTGGCTTCCTACGCAGGTCAACAGTGTCTGTGGGCAGCAGGTGTTCTGCGCGATCTTCAGATGACAGCACACATCTAACTGCTTCCTCAAATGCAGCTGAGACATTAGTGGCATCCTTTGCGCTTGTTTCGAAGTATGGATATCCACCATTCTCTTGACACCACCTTTGAGCTTCTTCCATTGACACCTGACGCTCCGCCACATCTACTTTGTTCCCTAGAACAACAAACGAAAATTTCTCTGGGTCCCTGACATCTGCGTAGTATGCAAACTCTTTCTTCCAGTTGTTGAGGTTCAAGAAACTTTGATTATCCTCCACACTAAACGTAAGCAGACAGCAGTCGGAACCACGGTAAAAGGGTGTTCGGAGACTTCTGAACCTCTCCTGGCCTGCTGTGTCCCAGATCTGTAGAGTGACCGTGTGACCATCCACCTCCAGCTCTTTGTTTAGGAACTCTACACCGATTGTGTGGAACAGATGGGAATCAAACTTGTTGGAGACATAACGGTTCATGAGGGAGGACTTTCCCACACCACCATCCCCCAGCAGAATCACCTTTAACAAAGACGACTTGGTGGTCATGATCAAGAACTTTCATAGGTTACCT